AGGGGGCATCATCACACTGCATACTTAGACATTCCTGTATGGCTTAGCACTTAACCTAGAATTTCTAGGTGACACCCTTCAAGAAAAGAGTAATGCTGTTTAACTATGTGTTTAAACACAAGTTTATATAACACCAAGTTGCCCTAGATAGTAGCCTGGATTTTATGTTTCTACATTTAATAGACATACACTTAGTGCTCCACATATATAGGTTCCGTAACACCACTTGTGTTAAATAGCATTATTCTCAAGAAAATGCTACCCAGCTTGTAAATGACAGCTATAGATAGGGAACCATGCTGCAATGAAACCTAGTATTGAGACAGCTTTTGAAAAAAAAATAACAATAATATATATATATATATGAAAACTGAATAATTTCCTTAATCACTGTTCAAAACATGTGTTCTGCTTACAGACTCGATCCTGTCTTTCTTTTCAGCAGGTACCAAGAAGTGATCAGTTCCTTGTCTTAGTGAAAGTTACAATTGAAACAGGTTAAACAATCGTCAACACAATCAGTGAATAAAGTTCCTTGTCTTAGTGACGGTTACAATTGAAACAGGTTAAACAATCGTCTACACAATCAGTGAAGAAAGTAAACAAATACGAGGAAAGTTTTGTTAATTTTCACGTTTCAATCCTCGTTTTCCTTCACACGCTAAAAATCGCGTTATATAAACAATCAGATAAAAATCAAAAGAACAAATAATGAGATTTCCGAGGTTAAAAAACCTGTCAGACATTTTGCAACTTCCCAAGATGCTCCAACAATGAAGTAGCCTTCCTCTTGGCCCTCTCTGTGCCGCTTTTGGCAATCTCCGTAAGAGGTATTACAGCACCGAGCCTACTTAGACAGGCAAGATTTCCACCATCTCTTTTACACAAGGAAAGTAAAATGGAAGCTGCATTCTCCTTGTTCCTAGGCAGACCCGTTCGCAATAGATCTATCAAGATGGGTATTGTGCTAGCTTTCACAATGGCAGCCTTTGCTTCATGGTGGCTAGCGAGAACCGAAAGAATGGTCAGAGCTTCATCGACCATACTATTGCCTGAATCAGTGAGCATTTTTAATAGAGCAGTAATAATGCCTGCCCTAACAGCCCGGCCCTTGTTTCCCTGATAAATGCACAAGTTGAATAATGCAGTTGCGGCATCTTTCTTCCCTCGTGAGCTTCCATTCTGAAGTAAGTCGACTAAAGCCGGTAGTGCCCCCGATGCACCTATTATTATCTTATTTTCATCGGCCAAGGACAAGCAAAAGAGGGTTGCTGCTGCATTCTCTCTTGCCTCCATGCTTCCAGCTCTAAGAACTTGAACAATAGAAGGAATTGCATTGGCAAGCATTATGAGCCCCTTGTTATTATCGTATATGGAAAGATTCAGAATGGAAGTGACTGCATTGTCTTGAATTTGAGCATCCTCAGATGTCAACAGATTAACGAGGACGGGAATAGCTCCGGCTTCTGCAAGCAAGATTCTATTATCCGTACTTCTTTTGGATAGTGACCGGATCTCAGCCACTGCAGCCTTTTGTTGCTCAATGGACCGACTAGAGAGCTTAAGAACAAGTGCTTTAATGGCTTCTATTTCCCCATTAACATCACAAAATGATCCATCACTTTTCTTAATCCTCCCGCTCATAAATGTCGATGGCTGATCTATATTATGTTTGACACACCATTGAGCTATTAGACTTCTCAAAACATAATTCGGAGTTAGAGCTAGATGTTGGAGATTCTGCTGAGTTTTTGGACATGTGTTGTTGCCACAATCGATCCATCTCTGAATGTAAGATCTCTCATAAGTCTGCAAGGGTAAAATATGTTAGAAGCTACACAATCCAGTAAATTTTTGCCTATTTCTTTCCTTTTTTGGGACATATAAAAACAAAAAAGAGTAGACGGAAATTCAGAATGCGAACAATACCTGCCCTGTGGCCACAATAACCGGATCCCTCATCAGTTCAAGAGATATGGGACAAAGGAAGTCATCAGGAATTACAGGAGATTCTGGCTTCTTGTTCACGTCCGGACACTTGCTGGCAGAGTTATCTGTCCTTCCATTATCAGAAACCTTTTGGACACAAACCTCAGATGATGTGCTAGAGATTTTTAAACTTTCTGATTCCTGAACCATTTCATGCAAAGGATGGCCTTCTGACCTGTTGATACCTTCTACATGACCTTCCAATTTTATTCCAACTTCATTATCAATATTATCTCCATGTAGACTTACGATTAAAGTGTTGTCCAACTGAAATGGATTGATATCTTTGTCTAGTGACCAGGATAATGCCCTACATAATAAGCTTGAATTCAATGGCCCACCATATTTCTCTGTTGCTCGCCTCAATTGTGCTCTGACTAATTCAACCTGGCAAAACGATCATGTTATGTGTGATTCCAGTCCAGACAACCACATAAAGATTCTCAAAATGTCAAAACTAACCTGTTCTTGTACTTCCTCGGATATGTCAAAATAATCATATGGCAAGTTAGCCAGCACTTTCTCCAATTTCCAAGTTACACATTGAAACTGGAAGAAGATTTTCTTGGCAGCCCCATCCTTGAATCAAGGAACGATAAATATAATGAGAGGCAGGCAAATTTTCTTTGAGACAAGTGCAACTGCTAAATATCTTCATTCCAAAGTAATACCGCAATACGTAGATGGCAAATATACTAAGGAACAAGTTAAAAGTAAATATATCAAGTTTAACTGAAATACAAGAAAGCTCATCATGAAAGATAATTGAAGGCTCTAGTTTTTCAGCTTCAAGAATCCAAAGAAATTAAGTTCCACCAAGAAAACCCTTGATTGTATCATCTACGACACAGTACCAAAGGCAGTGCTTTGCATGGATAAGCTGAGCAATATAATCTATCTACGTAAAAAAAAGCTCTTGAGTCTTTCTATTGAAGAGATTTGTCACTGAGATATATAGAATTAGAAAACAGACATGCCATAAATTTACCAACTACATGTAAATGACCTCTTATAGCTTATGGAATCCATT